CATCATCATCATCATCATCATCATCATCATCATCATCATCATCATCATCATCATCATCATCATTATCGATCAGCATCCTCATCATCATCATCATCATCCTCAGAAGCATCATCAGCATCAGCATCACCATCAGCAGCAGCACCATGGTCCTCATCAGCATCACCCTCCATATCATTAACAACATCACCGCCATAATCAACACACCGTCACCATCATCATCACCAGCATCATCATCACCAGCATCATCATCACCAGCATCATCCTAAGCCACAGCATTATCATACTGATCATCAGCAGCATCGTCATCATCATAGTCATCATCATCAGCAACAGCATCATGTTCATCAGCATCACCACCAGCATCAGCATCATCAGCCTCAGCAGCAGCATCATCACCATCAGCATCATCAGCATCATCAGCATCAGCATCATCATCCGCAGCATCATCATAATCATCACAATCATCTCCATCGAAATCATCATCACCTTCACCCCCACCATCATCGTCGCCGTCACCATAGTCGCGTCAACATCATCATGATTGTCGTCATCAGCAGAAGCAGCACCATCACAGTTATCATCATACATCCACCTCATCCTCATCCTCATCCTCATCAGCACCCATCGTCGTTCTCCACCCCTGCTGCTCCTCCTCCTCCTTCTTCTCCCTCTTCTTCGGCCCCCTCATGCTCCTCTATCCTCACCTTGACCGTAGGGGAAGCAGAACCTGAGGAACGGGGAGAAAAATAATGGGAGTTTCCCGACCGAGCGAAAGGCTTTGGACACGCAGGGAAATCAACTATAGACCCCACTTTCACGTCGATGGTCCATATTAGATTCCGAATTCGATGTTGGACGGTGCACTGGAAACATTCAGCGGTGTCTGGCATGCCACCGAACCTCTGAATCACTTACTACACTCTGGGATTATTGGTCCAATATTAGACAATGGATCAGTCTGGGACCTCAGGGCGCTGGGTGATTCTCCCAGAACAATATACCCGCCCAAGGTCCTGGACTTCAGGAAAGCAGCCGCGCACTTTCCCAGGATGTATGGGCGACGAGAACCTCCAGACAGCCGCAGGATTAGCTCTACAAGTTTGACGAGGCTTCGTGGTGTCACCTCTCCTTTAATATGAGTTTCTCCTCTCCGTTCCATTACTGAACGTCGACGCCCTTTCTCACGACACCTCACCCGGAAATCATCACAGGACGGGCTGGAATGAGGTACGCATAGCATCGCCAACGCCCCACAATGTGATCCACATGCAGACGAGGCAGATGCCGCCACGAACCGAATGGGAACACAGCTCCCCGTACAAACGGACCGAACAATACAGCCGAAGAGCTGCTGCAAAGGACCTGGGACAAGGAGCAAGAGCGGGAGAAAGGCGGAAAAAAGAGGGAGAGGGATGGTGGAGGAAGGAGAGAACGGTAGGAGAGCTGCGAGAAGACATGGAGCAGCAGGACGGCAGGAAGGGCGGGCAGGAGTCTGGGAAAAGAGGGCCATCATCGCACTCCTCCTCCTCCTCCTCCTCCGCCTCCTCCTCCCTGCTCAATATACGTTGACATCCTTTCTCTCAACCCTCCACGGGCACCGACAGACGCTATCCGACTCGAGCGGACGTCGGCGCGGGGGCCATCGGCTGCCAGGATGTGGTGCGCGCGGGGGTAGGGCTGCTGCGCACGGGCACCAGGGGCGCAGGTCACGGGCGATCGCGCACATGGGCGCTGCCACGCGCCCGCGGGCTGGGCCGCCACCACAAACTGGCGCGTTCCAGAAAAGGCCTCGTCTTCGAGGGATCGAGCAGCTGGCACTTCTTCCCGGCAGATGGTGGCGGAAAGCTGGCGGAGGGTCGACGGAAGAGGAACGGAAGGTCGGCTCTGGCGGCGGAAGCCTGCGGGAGGCGGCGGGAGTCAAAGATCCACCCGCCAGAGATGACAACGTCTTTGAGCTCAGGGATTTCGGAATTGGCCACATGATGCGGCCCGCCTGGGCGAAAGACTTTCATCCACGTTTGCCGTCGGCGGCGAGGCGGAGGCAGTCCGCTCCAGCGTGTGGCTAATCGGGGCAATCGAAATGCGAACTGTCCGGCGTGCAAGAAGAAAGGAAAACGAAGAGCGTCATACACGTGTTGCCGCATGTCTTTCCAGCGCTCGGCCCCTCCAGTTGTGGCCAGGCACGCCGGCCTTACACATGTGTGTAGCCAGAGCGCGGCCTGCAGATGGTCCACATGTGAGTCCAGCCACGTGCGTTTCCAGCTTCCTGGCGCATCCCTGCGAGGGGCAGCGTCTTTGCGCTCGGGGCTTCCGAAGCCAACCAGCGCCCCCAGCCACAGCACGACGGCCCGCTCTGCGTGTAGACCGCGGAAATCCGCCGCCGACCCGGCGGGTTGCAGGAGGGCTGCTCGGGGGACCTGCTCTGCGATGCAGAGCACCCGCTCGGTCTGCTGAGGGGCAGCGTTAGGGGGGAAGGGACCAGCTCAGGGGGGGGACATCATCGAGCTGGACTCTCGGCGATGCATCGCCGAGAGAGCGGCGGTGGGCCCAGAGCGAATCCGATCCGCACGCTCCTGGGCGGAGTCGGCTATCGAGCCCATGTCGGCGATGGATGTGCGATTGGAGTTCAATGCATGGCCCCCTTAGCCGCCCCGATTCGCAACACGCAACACACGGAGCTCGGCAGGCACGCGTTGAAAACGTACGCCTGGCGCGGCACGTTCGCCAAAACGTGGGCCAACACGTGGAGCCAACACGCAACGTGTTAACACGGACGTTTTGAACACGGCCTATCTGGGCAGCTAAGCTAAGAGACTTGAGCCGATCAGCCCTAACGATGCCCCTAAAGCAAGTGCACGAGCCTCGGGAGTGCCGGCGCCCCGCGACGCCCTGCAGGGCGGCGGTGGGCGTCGACGAGCTGGATCTGTCCGCACGGCGGAGTGCCTCGGAGGCCCCAGGGCACCTGAGCGGTCGGCCGCCTTCTGGTTGGCCGGCACCCGAGTCGCCCGCGGGCGCGAGGCGCCCTCCAGCGCCTTCGCGCGCGCGTCGTCCACGGATGCGTGGAGGCCCACCCGCATTGAGACCGCGCCCTCCAGAGTGGCAGCTGGGGCCGCGTCCGACGACGCGCCTCCCATAGCCGTGTCCAAGCTAGCGCAATCCTCCCTGAGCACGTGCCAGTGCTCCACCCGTCCACGTCGAGCAGCCGAGGGTCCTTCATTCCCCTTCCACTCCTCCGCATCGACATCATCATCAGCACCAGTTCCAGCACCATCATCGTCATCGTCATCGTCATCATCCTAATCATCCTAATCATCATCATCATCATCATCATCATCATCATCATCATCATCATCATCATCATCATCATCATCATCACCACCACCACCACCATCATCATCATCATCATCATCAGCAGCATCATCATCATCGCCATCATCATCGTCATCATCATGATCATCATCATCATCATCATCCTCATCATCATCATCACCATCATCATGACCATCATCATCACCACCCTCATCATCATTATCATCATCACAATCATCATCATGATCATCATCCTCATCATCACCATCATCACCACGATCACCATCACCATCACCATCACCATCACCATCACCATCACCACCACCACATCCACCGCCATCATCATCATCATCATCACCACCATCACCGTCATCAACACCATCATCGTCGTCACACGATTCATCATCATCATCATAATTGTCAGCATCGGCATCGCTTTCTTCATTATCATAATCATCATCATCGTCCTCGTACCTCTTCGTCATCATCATTGTCATCATCGTCATCAGCAGCAGCCTCAGCATCAACAGTAGCAGCATTAGCATCATCATCGTCACCATCATCATCATCATCATCATCATCATCATCATCATCATCATCATCATCATCATCATCACCAACATCATTATCGTCATCATCAGCATCATCATCCACACCACCCCCATCATCATCACCATGATCACCATCGTCATCGGCATCATCATCTCCATCGTCATCAATAGCAGCATCATCATCACCATCAGCATCATCATCACCACCACCGCCATCATCACCATCACCACCACCATCACCATCAGCATCACCATGTCATCATCATAATAATCATGATGCTCGCCATCATCATCGTCACCATCTCCATCATCATCGTCATCATCATCAGCATCATCAGCAGCATCATTCTCGTCGTCGTCACCACCATCATCATCAGCATCACAACCACCATCCTCATCATCACCGCCATCATCATCATCATCATCATCATCATCATCATCATCATCATCTAATCATAATGATCTTCATCATCGTCGTCACTATATTCGTCATCATCATCATCAGCAGCAGCATCACTACCACCATCATCCTCATCATCACCGCCACAACCATCAGCATCATCATCATCGTCATCGTCATCGCCATCATCATCGTCACAATATTCGCCATTATCACCACCATCATCAGCAGCATCATCACCACTACCACCTCCATCATCGTCATCATCATCGCTGTCATACTACTCATCAGCATCATCAGCAGCAGTATCATCACCACTTCCGCCATCATTATCATTATCATCATCACCATCATCATCAGCAGCATCATCACCACCATCACCATCTTCATCGTCATCAGCAGCATCAGCAGCAGCATCATCAGCATCATCATCTTCATCATCATCGCCATTACCATCATCAGCACCTTCATCAGCATCATCATCACCTTAATCATCATAATCCTGAACATCGTAGTCATAATCGTCATAATCAGCATCAGCATCAGCATCATCATCACAGTCATCATCATCAGCATCATCTTCATCATCACCAGCATCACCAGCATCATCATCATCATCACCAGCATCACCATCAGCATCATCATCAGCATCATCATCATCGTTATCATCATCCTTCAGCCCTCCTCCTCGCACTTCTCCTCCTCTTCCTCCCCTGTGCTGCGTTGGCGGCGGAAAGGGC